TATAGTGTGGCGAATTTAATCTTCAGGTCATCTATTCATACCAGTATCCATGGAGATGCCACCTAGCTAATCATGCAGACTGTTGCCAAGTATTCTCTTGTTCTTGACTTTGAGGTCTCTTTGGGACCAGCCACTTTTGTGGCTCATTCAGATCTCTCTGCCTAAACAAAACACTCAATCATATGCATTTTGTGGTTCTCTGCCACTGTACCAAGCTTCATCTTGGAATTGCAACATTGATTTTATTGTTCTCATACTTCAAAATCCAGATTTGGGATTTTGTTGTCCCTCTTTCTACTAGGAATTCATCTTGGGTAAGCAGGGGAGAGGTAGTCATAGGACATTTTAGGAGCTTTTGTATTAACAGGCACAAATTACTTTAGCTCAAATAACAAAAATCCCAGCAGAAGCTAAAACAAGTAGTTATCTTACATGACAAAAGGTCTAGTACAGTAGCTTAACTTTTACATCATCTTGCCATATCTTCAATTTATTATTCTTAGCTATTGACTTTGGTCATTGTGTTTGTCAGCACTGTGCTTTTCATACCTGTCATATCTCCAGGTGTTACACTTATGGTCAAAGAAGGATAAAGGAGTAGCACCAACTATGTTCCACTCAACCAGAAAAGCACCCCATCCCTAGTTTCCTCATATCACATTGTCTGTATCTCTATCCCAAACCCAGAACTATGTCTAGAGTTAGTTAGTAATATCAGCAAAATTAGTACATGGATTTCTAGCCTGTATTGTTGAAATTGGTAAGGAAACAAGAGGTTGAAAAGACAGTCTAAGTTCTCACTTCTCACTCTCTTCATTCCCCATAGCCCCAGGAAATTTTATATCATCTTTTTAGGACAGATATTGATTTGGCTCACTCAGTACCCATTTCTGTAGCCAGTTTGTGTGTGTGTGTGTGTGTGTGTGTGTGTGTGTGTGTGTGTGTGTGTGTGTGTGACTGATGATGGGGCTTTCTGTCTGAAATGAGAATACCAAAGAGGCTTGCTTGGAAAAGTCTTTACCTTTGGCATTCCATTTTCTTCCTGTAAGGAACATGGTTTTGATGCCTGCAGGTGAAGTAAACATCTTGTGACTATGAGGAGACAAATGAGGATATCAGATGATGGAATAAAAATAATTTGGAACATGGTGACACTGTGAATCTATTGCATCAGTATTCCAGGGTCTACCACTGAACTTTTGATATGACTGATATACCCCTGCTTGTTTAATTGTAGCATTTTCTGCTGTTTTCAGTCAAATGTAGTCCTGTTAGGCGAGAATGAATATAGTGACACATTATTGTAATTTCAGCTCTCAGAAGACTGAGGCAGGAGGATCATGAGACCAGCCAGGTACACAGTGAGTTCAAGAATGACCTGGACTATATAGTGAGAACCAGTATTGAAAAGAAGAGAAAAGGTTCAGATGTTTTCTCTGATTTTGCTGTGTTAGAGAATGATTACATGTAATGCAAGAAGAAAAAGTTTTGCTTCATTTGTAAAAAAAGACTTTTCAACATAGTTACAAATACACAGAAACCCACCCAAATTAGGCTAGATCAGGAAGATAATTTACTGGATGGATGTGAGTAAATTCATGACCTAGCCATTGCAAGTCTAGCTGTACTTCAAAACAGACTACAACCAGGAACTGGAAAGTCTTGGGAACCAGTCCAAACATTCCTCTTTTCCTCCATGATCACAAGATCTCATATAATTTTCTTTCTTTTTTACTGGCATTGGCTTTTTCTTTTTTGTGCACATAGGAAATAAATCATTTCTGTCTTATCAGGTTAAATAATACCTCAAATTGAGTAACATTACTTTTATTTTTTAACTTCTCTGGAGAAAGAATCTGAGTGGTCCAATTTTTTGTTTTGCACCAATCTTTAATCAAATTAGTGGTAATGGGGATGGGATCAAATGCTGTAGCATTTCTTAGGGGATAAGGGAGAATATTCTTCTGATAAGGGGCATAGATATGTGTATGGGAAGTAATGGCTGCTGGTGAAGAAACAATGGACATCCCTATTACTCTTTTAAAATTACTCTGAAATTTTAATCAGCTGAATGGTGATCCATTCATTTTACAGACATTAGTCTTACTCATATGCGCTCTCTCAAGGAATGTCAGTCCATTCAGCTAGTTGCCTGTGTTACAAACCTTTATACAACCAATAATTATCACAGTTAATATTTATTGACTTCATGCATTGTATGACAGGCATTCTACATGAATTATCATAAATTCAACCTGATTACAACTCTTCAAGTATCCATTTTACTGATAAGCGAAGTGAAATTTTGAGATGTTAAAGTCAAGCCTTCAGTATTGCTTTTGGATTACTGAGTAACCTCATGTCCTCTGGCCTATAACCTTGCTCCTCAAATTGCCCTTTTTATACTCAGCGGTCATAATGATGCTTCTAAAACACAAGTCTGATCTTGTTACATTCTTACTTAAAACCCTTTGTCCAAGTTCCTTTATGTGCTATGTAAAGCCCTCCTTGATCTGGGCAGTTTATGACTTCCATCTGACTCTCTCAGTCACTCTGTCTTCAAATTGCACAGATCATTTGCATTTTTATTTTGTCTTTTATTTTTAATTGGCATAATAATTGTACATATTTATGAGTGCATATTTGCAGTTCTTAACTGTCATTTCTTATCTCTGTACAGCAACCCTCTAGACATTCTCCCATCTCACTCCTACATGTTACCCACATTTAGGACTTCATTAAGATGCTACCCTATTTAGAGACTTCTGTATTGAACTGAATACTTTGCACTCCTGTATCACTCAGCATTTTTCTCCTATATATAGATAATATCTATATATAGACATATCACCATACTGCAATTGTTTGGTAATTTATTCCTTCTTTTGCTTTAAACTGTAAATTGTTTGGAGGGATTATATTTGAGTCACTGATAAATACTCTAAGGCTGGTGTAGTGATTGGCATGTAGTGTTTGCTTAATAAACATTTATTAAATGAATGAATCTTAAGTTTGGAAGTACTCCCAAAGCTACCTGGAGAGAAATAAATATTCAGCTTTCTTGTTTAGTGAATGGACTATCCTGACAGTTGTTGCCCTTGTCAACAAGCTTTTGGTTTACAATTTAAAACCTGAGCACAAAAAATTTAAACATAAAAGTAGTTGAGAAAACATGTCATAAAATAAGTGATATACAACAAGCTAAAACTGTTAAACTGTAAAATAAAGAAAGCTGAATAGAACAATATGATTGTGGAATTGGTGGAGGAAAAGGAATTTAATATTTTCAGAATTTACTAAATGAAATGTACTGTTGGTACTCTCATTTAAGCCTCACAATAATTACTGGCTGTTGTTATGCCTCAGTAAGAACGGTTAAAAGATAACTAATAGTCAAATTAGAGCAAAATAAACTGAATGATGTTGTATTTTGGATACAACAAATGACCTACAGATAAGAAGCAAATGAAGGAAATTATAAACAGCCCCAGAAAATATTAGGAAGATCATTTCAGGGTAAATCCTACCACACCCAAGTTACCCTCTAGTTATGTCTGGCTTTCTGGATCGGTTTTTGAGCTCTTTCTCCTAAAATGATTTCTTTCACTCTTTCTTCTGCTGTGGAGAAATATTTATTTTCTTTTACCAGAATAAATTCTACTTCATCCTTCAAGCTCTGTCTCATTGTAATTCCTTTTTTCCTTCTTGGGTATTGATGAACCTTGCACATGTTACAAAAGAGCCCTACCACTGAGCTACACCCTTACCTTTAAGCTTTTTTGTGCAAAACTTATGAGACCTGTTTTTTGATTTAGTTATACTTTTTCCAATTTAGTAGAGGCACCATGTCCCCTTTTTTAGAAAATCCTCAGCAAAACAAACGGCAAATAACAGACTATTATTGTACCTCATGAAGGAAAAAAAGTAAAATCTTTAATTGTGGCTGTTTATGTGACCATAGACAGTACTGTGCATGATGGAAAAGTTCTGTCATTTCCAACTTCTGTTAAATCGGGTCAAGTACTGTTTTAAACTTTCTAAGTCACATTTTGTTACTAAAAAGAAGATATTAGTAAGAGTCTCTGGCTACTCTGGGACTCGTGTAAAGAAAAAACGAGGTGTTTTATGTGAAAATGCTATTCAAACATTTGGTAAAATGTTTGCTGCAAAATGTTTGTAGCTGAGTACATACAAAACCAAGACAAATTGGGTCTATGTGCCAAACAAACCTAAAGAGTCAGGTCTCTGGGAGAGGAAGCTGCGGGTTGCCGTAAGACGTCATTACTCCGCGCCAGCCGCGACGTTTTCGCAGCTGGCCTCGGGGCAGTCTTGCTCGCCATGGGGTTTTGGCGCCGTCTTTTGCTCTTTAGTGGCCTGTCGCACCGGGGTGGTGATCGGGTCCCTTGCTCGCTTAGGGGTATCCGAGCATTGATTTTTCGCCGTCAGGTCTGTGGTGCTGCAGAGACAGTATAGGGAGGCGGGTGGGATGACGGTGCCGGGTAGCCCGGCTGCAGATTGCCTGGCGTTGCTCCTGGTCAGGCGCTCAACTCAGTCCCTCTTTGGCGCCTGCCCCCTTAGAGTCACAGTGAGGCCTGTTTAGTGGACTTTCCCATTTTCTGGCAGGCCCTTAGTTGGTCCAGGCTAAAGTGTGGCCGGGTCTGAAAAAGAACATGGATGTATGTCTCACACATTCCTTTCGTAGTTCGGGGTTATCTTGTAAATATGTTAAAGAGAAGGCAAAAGTGCAGGATTTAACTCTAACGAGGGCACTTATTTTCCATTTTTTAAAATCAGCGTGCCCTGGCAAATAAATATCAATTTAAACATGTACCTTTACAATTGTAATCAGTAGTACTGATAGGAGGTAAATAGCACTTAAAAGCTGAACTAGTGGAGTGTTAGATGAGGAGTGTTAGAAAAGAAAGCCCTCTTAATTGCAAACTTAATTGCAAAGGGTTACTTTTACAGCATAAAAACTTTTTTTCCCTTTTCTTTTAAAGTTATCGGGAGGTGAGAGTGAGAACCTAAAACAAAGAAGAACACAAATCATGTCCCGAGGACTTCCAAAGCAGAAACCTATAGAAGGTGTTAAACAAGTTATAGTTGTGGCTTCTGGAAAGGGTGGAGTTGGAAAGTCTACTACAGCAGGTATTACAGGATATTAATTGATACTAAGACCATATTCCAACTGAAAAATTATTATAGTTTTAAAATATTTAGTATTTGTGAAGTTTCTAACAGCTGGTTCCTTAGTATTAGAAGTTAGATTATGTAGTTAGACAAAACTAAATATAGAACAAGATTGTCTTCTGCTTCACTGGTCAGATGTCCCCCAGATCTTCAGTTTACTTGAGTGGGAAACCTCTTTCATAGGATGGTCATACAAATTAAGCTGACCGTGTAGGCCTGTGTCTTCCATAGTAAGTGCTCAAGAATTTATCGTTGTTATTTTTATTTTTTTTGAGACAGGGTCTCACTATGTAGTTGAGACTGACCTGGAACTCACTATGTAGTCCAGGCTGCTGTCGAACTCACAGTGATCCTCCTGCCTCAGCCTCCCAAGTGCTGGGAATACAGGTGTGCACCACCACGCCCGGTGATCGTTGTTATTTTTAAAATATCTACTAACATTAATACTAAATTATTTCTGTTTTTTTCCAGTCTTTACCAGTGGGCATATAGCTAGGTATTTGTGATGAGATTATTATGACTTTTTTCATTTAACCATAATACAGTTTTCACCATTTCTATAGTCCACATAGAACTAATATTTGAAAATGCATGAGAGACTTAACATTGTTTTAATACTATAACTTTTAGAACTATATACATGTACTCTGAAGAGATAATTTTTTTGGTCGCCCTTTTTATTGATTATAGGTTTGTCTTTAAAATGGTACTTTCAAAACAAGACATGCCACCAGAAATGAAAGAGTTAACTGTCTAGTTATTTCCAAAAATTTCAAAAGAAACTTTTAATTTCTGAAAAAATTATGCTAGTAATTATAAATATAAAAGAAACTTTGTATACTCCTACTTATCAGTAAATTGAATTGATTTTCAGCTTTTTTCAGTATATTGGCAAATACTGTGCATATTCAAGGTGTGGGATTTGATGTTTTGATATATGTTGTGAAATGATTTCCACAATTAAGCTAATTAATGTATCCATCATCTCAGGCTGGGTATTTAGCTCAGTAATTGAGTGCTTGCCTAGCATGAGAAAGGTTGTGGGTTTAATACTAGTATTGGGAAAAACCCAAACCAAAACAAAAACATCCATCACTTTCACTTACCTTTTTGTGTTTTTATGTATGGTAAGACTGCTTAAGATTACTCTCAGTGAATTTCAACATATTGTACATTAGGTCTGCAAAACTCACTCATTTCATAACTGCAAACTGTTCTTTGACTTGTATTGTCATAAAGCACTCATATCTTACACTTATCTCATTGAATTTTCAGTTATTAGGAATGGCTAGGTTAATTCAGTACCCAAGCGATTTTTTTTTTGCTATTGATTAAAAAATGATTATCTTTAATATATTTCATTTTGTCAATTCTGGCCTAGTTCTAGACTGGCAAGATTTTTAAAATTTTGAGTTTTTATTTCTGACTATTCTATGAACCAAATTATGTGAATGTCATTGAAAATATTTTGTGTTGACTTGAAACCAAGTATAACACTCATATAGTACAATTAGGTATAGATCCCAAGTATAGAATATTAGTAGCTCTTTTTCCTCCCATTTTAAGTTGAAGAGAATTATGGAAGAATATCTCAGATGTTTAGAAGAAATTAAGATTTATCAAATATTGCATTTGTGATATACTCCTTATCTATTACTATTTGATAGATACTGTTTATATTATTTTAAAAAGATGATTGGTGCTTTGTTCTTAATGAATTCATGCCATGTCCTACACATTTTTGCTTTCTTTCCTGAGGGCCTGCCATCTGTCTGATGTTTTTAAAGTTTAGGGACTCCTAGTTCTAGAACCCTATTCTAGAATCTGCTTCCTCCTGTTTTTGAAAAATTGAAGTACATTTACCCAATTCAGGGTTTGGGTCCTTTTGCATAGTCTATGATTACTTAGAATAAACTAATTTTGCAATATAACTGTTATAAACTTGCCTCAAAATTAAGATTTTAAATAGTCCATTAATAATGTTACAATTTTGTAATTAGTTTATTTTTTGTCTTTGCATTCTCTCTGAGTTCTTGTTCTTTACAAGTAAGGGAGTTGTATGAAAAATTTCTATGCTTTAATTATTACACTAAAAATATTAAAAGGTATAATAATTTTAATGGAAAGTTAACTAAATTTAGTTACTTTTTTTTTTTTCAGTAAACCTTGCACTTGCCCTGGCAGCAAATGATTCGGTAGGTGTTAATAGAAATATTAATGCATTAAAATATTTTTAAAGCAGTGATAAAGAGCATATTGTTTTTCATTTACTTTGTCAGAAGCTATAAGTTGCATGTCTTTAAGGAACTGAAAGTGCTGCTATTAGTACTTGTTTCATTTAAGGATAATGATGATGCATTTAAATGACCATATATTATTTGCTTTGCATCCCATAGAATTGTGTGGTAATTTCTAACAAAAGACGTAGAAAACTAATATGTGTAGGAAGTAAAATTTCTTAGTTCTTTTTTTGTTAAATTTCCTAGTTCTTTAATTCCAAAGATGTTCAAATATAATAGTCTAGCCAGAAATGTAATTCTAGCCTCAAAATAATTTTCTGTTTGAATTTTAAAGACAATGTACAATTTTCTTCTACATGTTAATGAAAAATAGTCTGCAGATTCCTTTGTAATATATATTTTGTTTTCTCAAAACTTTTAAGGTTTATTTTTTTCTTTTTCTTTTATTTTGTTAATAGGGTTTTATTATGTTGCCTAGGTCGACCTTAAACTCACAGTCTTTCTGCCACAGCCTCTGAAGTGGGTAGGATTACAGATGAGTGTCACCATGTCTGACTGTCTTCTAAGTTTAAAATACTCACAAATATGTGCTTAGTTGTTAGCTGTAAAGCGTTTATTTGCTTGGAAATGGCTCTTGCACTATCCAGGCTGAGTCTTTTTCAACTGAGTAAAAACTTCTGTTATTGATTATTTTTGATGATGTGTTTGTTCTTTTTCCAGAATCCTATTAGGTAGATATTAACCTTTTATACTTGGTACGTTTTCTCTCATATTTTCTCTCTCTTTGTCTTTGCTGTGATTTGCAAGATGTCTTAGACTTTTTCACATTGCTATATTGATTTTAGTTGTTTGGCTCTTCTTAAAAATTAATTTTTAATTTGGAAACTATATATTTTTCTAATTTTCCAGAACTGTTATCTTCCACTTATCTCTCAAAAATGAATCTCTTCAAAGATGCTAGTTAGAATTACTAAAAACTGTTTTTACTGAGCTTTGTTTGTTTAATATGGTGGTTCTCATAATGTGGTGCTCTTACTGCAGAATTAGCAGCGCCTGGAAACTTGTGACACATAACTGGAACCCTATCCTAGACCTGTAAACTTTGGAGGTGCAGCCCTGTACTCTGTATTTTAACCAGCTCTATCGGTGATTTGATGTTAAAGTTTGAGACTGTGAATCTAGAATTTCTTTTGAGTGTTGGGGATGGAGCCCCAGATCTGGTGTGTGCTGGACAGTGCTCTACCACTGAACCACATCCACAGCCTTAGAGTTCTTTGAAACTTCTAATCTGTTAGTAGCCCCCTTTTTTTTGTTTTCTGGAGCAGTTATGGTGTAGTTTTAAACTACTTTTTTTCACTTGTCATTTCAGTGGAATTTGGAAGAAAAAAGATATACACATATGATTAGGCAACCTTACTGAGATAAGAGTCAGTGATATGTTAAGAACCAGTGATTTTTTTTTTAAATTAGGACTAATTTGGAGAAGGGTTTCCATCTTCCTTATGGAAGGAAGGGAACAGGGAAAATTCAGTAGATAGGAAGGTAGATAAATTTTCAGGTATGGGTCTATCCTAATTTGGTTATCATTTCAGCCAATGCATTGACTTATAGACAATGTGAGGTAAGTGTGTGCTAAGGTATTGAAAGATTAAAAAAATGGTTAAAAAGGGTTGATTCATTTATGTTAAATGTTGCTAGTTTTGATAAGGTACTAGTTTAGGAAATTTCTTCTGTTTCTTTCAGGGAGGGATGAGGATAGCTTGATCTTTAACGCATGTGTATATGACAAGAAAATTGACAACAAAACAGTAAGACTATCCCTGACTACTTCTTCACAAAGCATTTGGTCTCTTTGAAGTACTTTAAAACAAATTTGTTAAATCTCCCTTAGGAAGATCTTTAGTGTTTTATGATACTGATGGTGTTGTTTTATTTTTATGTTTTGACTTTTTGTACCAAAGTTAGTGCAGAAATTATGAAGAAAGCCCAAAAATATGAGCAGCATATTTTGATAATTCCAAGCTAATATGACATAGTATTTCATGCTTGGAGACTTTCATGTCCTCTGTAATAAATTTATATATACTTAAGAAAGAGAAATTTAACATAGCTTATATACTTGATTAATAGTTTTTCTGATTAGGGAGCAGCATGTTTGGCTTAAATAAGTTTTTTGAAATATGATCTGCCACAAGACTGCCTGCATGTAGAAAAGAAGAGCTGTATCTGTTCTACCTGATTATATGAATCTGGCAGAACCTTTTGCTCTGTATTTCCCAACTTAAGATTTTATTAATATTATACCTACTTAGAGGACATGTTTGGACTTTGGAGGAAGCTCATGGTTCCTCCTAACCTTCTGTTTGCTGAGAGGATGCAGATGGTTTAGGTCCATGGACAGTTACTGAGGCATGATACAATGGTGTGTTGTTTTAAGTGGTAAAAGCTGCAGAGTGGTGTCTTTGAAGCCTCTCTAGTAATTCATTACCATGGCGTCTTAATTATTCATGGAGCTCCTATAGAAGAATATCTCTGACCTGCTACTTCTTGAGCTAGCTTTGCTGAAGACTTTGCAAACTCTTTATTCCCACTTTTTTAGTGGGTTGGTGCCTGTTTTTCAGCACTGCAGTAGGAAGATCTAAGAAGATAAGGTTTTAGGTATAGGGCAGTTTTACAGCATGTACGTTGCAACGGGCTGTTTGTATCGTGGAAAGCTTTAAAAGGTTCACCATCATGGTCTAGGTGAAATAGATTCAGGAAGATAGTTGTCTACTTGTTTTTGTGATGATGCTTGGGATCAGGCCTTTATTTTTAATATTGGACTTAGTAATCTGTAAAGTAGGTTATGTAAACCACAGAAGGGTATATAAGACAATCGATTGGGGTATGGGAGAAAAGTTTTCTGTTTTTATTAATTTTTTGTGTATGCTTTATAGTTTTTACATTATTAGTACAACTAATGCTAATGTAATTTATAAATATATTAACATTGAGGAAATATGCTCAAATATTTATATACATTTTTAACTGGGGTACATAATTAGTAATATTTAAATATTACTGGCAGAGGCAAAAGGAATTCTGGGTTAGACTATACATCCAGTTCAATAGAAGGCCATTGTGTGGCTTGAAGTCATAGGCTTATTGGAATATGGAGTGTGATTTTTCCCTGCTTTTCCTTTTTTTTTTTTTTGGTACTGGAGATCGAACTCGGATCCTTGTACTTGCGAGGCAGGCGGCGGAACCACTGAGCTAAATCCCTGGCCCTTCCCTGCTTTTTCTTTGACTTTTGTACTTTTATTTGGGAACGCAGATGGGTAGTACTGTAGGAATTTAGAGATGTGTGCTGTGCCTCAGTTGGCTTATCCTGGCTTTTGAAAACCAGTTGTTAAATTTTCAGGAATTTTTCAAATCAGCGGATGTTGGAAGTGGGCTCAGGATCCAGCTATGATCAGGAGGCATCTACCAGACTCCTGCACTTCATGACTTTTCTCCCTTTGTGCCCCATTTACCCTGTCAAAATAGCCTGTGACTTGTAGTCCTAGTTGATATGGTCCTAGGAACAGCAAGCTTGCATGTCCCTTTTCTCACCAACCTTATCAGTCAGCTAGTCCTAGAATGTATTAGAACAACAAATTACCAAGGACACCTGGTCCCATCTCCTTGTTTCGACTTCCCCTCCTCATGCCTTAAATAAAGTGACACACAAGCTGTGGTCTTCTTCTCTGCTCAACATGCAGGGAGGCCCTACCTGGTTCCACATTAATTCTTTTGTTTTCTTCATCTTATGTCCTCCAGCTCAGGCCCCAGACCCTTGCCATGACAAGGCCATGGCAACTGGTGCCCAACGTGGGGCAACAGAAGATGAAGAAACAATCGAGAATTAAAGCAGGACTGTGTGGGGGCCTCCCCACACAGGTAGGCAGCTCCACCTCCTCCAGAGGGGGAACACTGAGGTTTATCTATAACAATGTCACATTTTCTGAGAGAGGTGAGTCTGCCATGTGAAACACAGCAGATTTGGCAAGCTGTTTTTCTAAAACCAAAACTAAACAGTTTTCACCAGCAGCTGATTGTGGAGCAGAAACTTGAGTGGCTCCCAAAACTAATGACCATAAAGAAAAGATAAAAATAGGAATCTTGTCTGATACTTAAGAAGTATATACTCTTCTTCCTTATAACTCTTCTTTGTCCTATGAAAGTGATGTAGTTCCTTCCCATCCTCGGATAAATCAAGAGTTTGTTTACTTATCTCCTCTGCCAGTCTGTGAACCTTTCAGGGACAGTGATGTTAGTGTTGTTCCATTTTTTTTTTCTCAGTGCCTAGTCTTGAAATGTGTTGGTAATGACTGTGGAACAGTGTGTTCACATAGACACATGCACACACACACACATCCAAAATATATATATATATATATAATATATATCCAATTCCAAGTATTGGATAAGGTGTCCTCTGTTCAATGTTAATTATGCTTTTTTTTTCTCCCAGGGAAATGAAATAATTAAAATTTAAATGGGATAATATATGTGAAGTACTCAGCACAATGGCTGACCCATGGTAAAGGCATAAATACATTTTTAGTATCGATAGCTAAATATTATTTTTTGTAAATAATATATCAAAATAAAAGTTGATATGTATTTTACTTAACTTTAGCAAAACTAATTTTAAGTAATTTATATGTGAGAATGAATCATTAACTAGAATTTTAGTTGAATTTAAAATTGGAAAAGGAAGCAGTATTATTTCAAAGAGTTTGTATTTTTTAAACTATTTTTTTCCATTGATGTCTATCTCAAAATACAGTGGTTCCTCAGTATTTGTCATTAGGTGATTCCAGGTGTGATGAGTATCACAAATGATAAGTATCATACACATTGTTTTGGAAAGAAAGGGTAGCAAGTTGAAAAGTTCAATAATCTTGGAACAGAACATATTCTGTATTACTACT